GATGATGATGACGATCACCATCATCATCCCTGAATCTGCTTTGCCTTTGAGCTTTGCCTTTGAGACCATTCGACATGAATCCTACCAAGCCTGTATTGACACTCTCATTAAAGCCAGCACCAGAATCTGTATTAGTTTGGCCTATTAGAGCATAAAAGTTGCTTCATATATACACATTGCTCATGGTGAGTGAAGCCTCAAATGGTGACTGGAATGTGAATGAGCAATCACAGCAGCACTTTTATATCATTCCATGCTTTTCATGAAGCCAGTTTAGAATATTCAGGAATAAGTCATTAAAGGTGAAGAATTCATGATAATACATGTGAATTGGCAGTAGTATAGATTACTTGTGAGAGCCAGTGTGGTATAGTGGTTTGAGTGTTGGACTTTGACTCTGGAGATCAGGGTTTAAATGCCCACTCAGCCATGGAAACCCACTGAGTGACCTTAGGCAAGTCACTTTCTCTCAGCCTCAGAGGAAGACAAAGGCAAACAAACCCCTCTGAACAAATCTTGCCAAGAAAACCCTGCGATAGTTTGCTTTAAGCTTGCCATGAGTGGGAGACAACTTGAAGGCTCACAACATTACTTGTACTGAGACTACATGGAAAACTGGGAAAATGCCAACATACTTCCTGCTATTCGGAATGGATTAGAACTAGCATAAAAGATGAAAATAGTTATACAGGCATTTAGTGGCACCGTCTCTGCCACTTCCTCAGGAATGCTGATTCTCATTGCAGAATTCTACAGAGAGACTTATTTACATTCCTTCAAAATAAGGGTAGGAATCATTCCGTTTTTGGACTGCCTCTATCAGAGATCTTCCTGGTTTATAGCACTTCTGATTGCAAAGAAAGGGATTTTATTTTCAACCATTCTTCCAAGTTCAAAACATTCTTCGTAATGAAAACTAGCACATCAGGCAAAGAATTAGCTAACCACTAATGTGTTAGTTTTTCTCAGTGTATTAGTTTTGAGGATGTGATGTTCTGAATCCAAATTTCTCTCGTGAGATGCTAGCTTTCTAGGCAGAATTGTGTGCTTTTTCCAAAGCAGAGGATTCAAAATGAGATACGATGTCTATGGTATACAATCCAGGAAGGAACACAGTTTTTCCTCAATATATATTTCTTTCCTGCACTTTGTTTTTTCCTCACACTTCTGTGTGTGGTTGTGTGTGTGTGTAAATACGTGCACATTGCATGATAGACTGCAACCCAACTTATATCATTAGCTTTTGCCTCCAAACTGGCTTTCTTTTTATACCCTTCTTAGGTCCAAAACACGCCACAGAAATAATCCAGTTTGAGATTGTTTTACCTGTTCTGGTTCAGTGTTAGGGAATTCTGGGAACTGTAGTTTTGTGAGACATTTAGCCTTCTCTGTCAGTGAGCTCTGGTGCCGCAACAAACTACAAATCCCAGGATTCCATAGGATTCAGTTAAAGCAGTGTCAAAGTGCATTAATTCTGCAGTGTGACAGCAACCATAGAGTAGCTTACACAATTTCAGATGGTTGTAGGCCAATCCTGCAGATGATTAACAACCATACAGAACTTCATTTAATTCAGA